GATTCACCTGTCTTTCTCTAGATTATAAGCTTTCTGAAGGCAGAGTCCATGTCAGTGTTGGCTGATTGTTGTTGCCTAGTCCCTAACAAGGCATGTAGTAGGCATTTAATATAAAATAAGTTGACTATGTGAATGCACGCATGCATAAGTTCTTCTTTTCTCAACAGCTAGTGAGAGACAAGCACGTCAATTTCCACACAAATAGTTGGAAGTGAAGGGCTCTGAGCCAAAGAGCCTTTCTACTGCCGGAGTTTGGATTGGGATTTGGGACAGTGCCACAACAGCATCAAGTGTGAGGTTGCAGGCCCCTACTCCTCTGCAGAAGGGGGATCAGGGGAAAATAGGGACAGGGGCATCTGCAGAATTTTACACTCTCCATGTGGTCCAGCATGGATTCAGAGGACCAGACAGAACCACTCCATCAACTAGGATGTCAGAGCTCTGGGCTCGAAATTATTTACCCAAAAAGCCTACTTTACAAATGGAAAAGCTAAGCTGTGCATGACCTTTCTGAAGTCACAGAGCTAGAGGCAGAACTGAGAACCTTGGTCTCCCCTGGGCCCAGGGTTGTCCCTCCTCCTCAGCTGGTCCAGCTTCAACGGGCGAGGAGTGCTGGGGGTTTCAAAACCCTCTAAAGAATCCTCCCACGGGATTAAAAATAATAGTCGACTTGAAATAGAAATGTGAATACTCAAGGAGAGGCAAGGAGAATGGCAGGTGGGTTGGAAAAAGGCAAAGAAAAAGGCAAGTCCAGAAAGGCTGCCTGCCACGCTCTGGAGTCCCGGCCCTGCCAGCGCAGTTGTGTGTGAGGCTTGGCAGGGCTGCAGGCAGCCGGCGGCGCTGGGAAGGGCTGCGCTTCAATTCCCAGCGGAGGCAGTCAAGGGCATCAGGATGGAGATTTATTAGGGGAGCTGTACTCCAAACCATGGCGACCTGGTCCTGCAGACAGCTCGGAGAGACCTGGGGCCGGGGAGGCAGCACCTGGCTGTTAGAACCAGGGCTACCCCGGTTTCCAGGGGAGGGGTTTGAATCCGGGTTGCGGAAGGCCCATGAGCTCGACTACAGCTGCCAGGCCGGTGGGTTTGGTGAGGGACACAGAATGAAGGACCCCAAACCTGCAGGCCCCAAGTCTCCCTCTCCCCTCCCGCCCCCCCGCCCCAGGGAGGGCTCTTCTGGGCTCTCGGTGTGTGCCACCTGGAGGCCTTAGGTCAAGGCTTTGTATGCTTGGGCTCCACTCTGTGGGGCCTTTGCAAGAGAGAGGCCCTGCCAGCCTGGTGAACCGGGGCAGGTGGAGGACTAGGCAAAGGCTCAGACCCCTGCAGCCAGGTGGGGTCCAGTCTTTGGGGTGGAGGCTCTCTTTCTTCCAGCACTGGTAAGCTGGCCACGACAGGAGCAGGCTCCTTCCTGCACTCCGTGGTCCGTGGGGGTTTCTGGCAGCGTAGGAGAGGAAACAGGTGTCATTCTCTGGATAAGCTGCAGAAACAACTTGGCTCATGGCTCCCTCAGAGGCTCATGGCTCCCTCAGAGGCCCCTAGCTCCAGTCTTCAGGAGAACATGGATGACACGTCCTTCCGCCAGCAGTTCCTCTCAGTGAGGAAACCAAGGGGTGAGGACAACTGGCCTGGACAGGTCGGGTGGGGGCAGCCTGGGAGGCTCAGGAGTGGTGCCAGGCAGGGGTTCCGGGACAAACCTTGGCTCTGCCTCAGCCCTGTTCTGCTCAGGACTCTTTCTGCTTTGTCAATGGGAACCCACAAGAAAGTTACCAGGAAGCCCTTGGGGGGGCGGGGGTGGACGGAAGGTCACTCTGAAGTCCTACTCGGGTAGTTCTTCCTATTTTGATCACCACCCCCTTACCTCACACCCTCAAGGAAATGTTTTTCCCAGGAGGTTTTTTTGTTATTGCTTTTTTTCCCCCCTTGCTTTAGCTTATCGGGGAACTAGAGCCCGAAGCCTGTGAGAACTGCTAGAGTCATCTTTCCATTTCCTCTGCAGGGCCCCTGCCCACCGCACTCCCCGCCTCCCGTGGTCCCCTCCCCTCCCATCACCACCACCAACGTTGCAGGCAGGGGCGAAGGCCCTTGCCATCCAGATGGGTCCTGTTTCCCTCAAGGATGGGCCTGTTCCAACTTCATTTCACTGCCTCCCCTGAGGATTGTATAAACATTTCCAGAAGGATGCAGATAAGGAAAAAAAAAAAAGATCTTATGTAAACAGTAGATGGCTAGGGGCCAGGAGATATTATTAGTTTATTAGGACTTTAAAAACACCCAAACGCTCAACTAAAGGAAAGTAGAAATTTGCTTTCATTTTAACCTCTGTTATTGTTGCTAGGGTCAGTAATAAGACAGACACAGACATCTCAGGAGGCATATGATATTATAAAGATCATAGGAGGCACAGCCAGGGAAGCACCAGAGATTTGACTGTGGTGACCTTTCTGGCCAGTGAGGGGTGGTAATGAGGGTGGGAAGGTGCCTCTTCTCTAAATTGAGCAAGGCTGAAGAGTGATAGGATTAGAAATACCTCCTCACTGTGCCTTACTCACTCCCATTCTTTTTTTTTTAAATTAATTAATTTATATAAGAACCGGGGTACAGGCCAGATGTGCGGGAGGGTGAGAGGATTCACCCGAGACAGAGTGGGGAACAGAACAGGCAGACTGACGAAATACACTGCTGAGGGGAGCAGCAGGCGAGACAGGGGAGGTCTGCTGTGCCATGTGGGACCCTCGCTGCGGCTGGGGATTGAACCCGCGCTGTAGAGGCTGCGGACAGCTACACTGCATGGCGCTCAACCACCTGCGCCACCAGGGGAGGCTCCCCTTCCATTCCTTTTGATGCTCCCTTCACCTTCCACCCCCAGCTGATCATGCTTACATTGTAATAATGTGAGTTATTAGGAACACAGAAAACTCTTCCTCATAGCAACATCACTCTATGCAATTCCTTCAATTTGGAAAGCTCTTCTCAGGCACTTTTCTTAGCTGATTCCTCATTGTAAGGGCAGGACATGGGCACAGGTGCAGGTTTTCTGATCCCATGCAGACCGGGTAAAGGAGGAGTCAGAGTCCTCAGTAGTTTTGCAGGTTTTTTATTGGGGTTCACCAGGCATATGGCAGGCAGGGGTGCTGGCTGGGGGGCTGGGAGGCTGGCAGGCCTCCCAGCCCCCAGCAAGTCTTTACTCTATCTGGGCTCTCTGGCGTTCTCTGCTTCTGCTTCAGCTTCTCCTTCAGGTTCTGCTGCTGCTGCTGGGGCTGTTGGCGTCCCCCCGTGACGCCGCCCTTAAAAGCACAGTCTTAACTCAGCTGAATCCCATCTACCTATGCCCACACCCTATTCCAGGTGCCCGCCATCAGGCATGCATTCAGGACAAGGATCCATCATCTATCCTGATGGCGGAAGGGCAGAAAAGCCTGATATTTTCTTTACCCTACACTCATCTCTTCAGATTTGACAGCTTCAGTATTACCTCCTCAGAGAGGACTCCTGTGATGTGATCACCCACACACCCTCGTAATTCTTTTAAAACACTTTGAAAGATATACCTTGTATTATATCAGATTCATGTTTTATGTGATAAAGCTAAGTTTATTTAATATAAATAAATCCTAGCAATTTATTTAATATAAATAAGTCCTAGCACATCAATAATATATAGCCATATTTTACAAATGTGAACTCAAATATTGTATCTTTAATGTCTATGGCAGGTCAAATAGTAGGAAGGTAATTTCTACGAGGAAGAATTTTATTGAAAATGGAAGTCGGGTCTTCAGTGCATTTACTGTAACCAGTCCTTACTATTTGCTTTCCATCCCCTTCAGGGGAGTGTAAGCTCTAAGATATCCCCAAATCAGGAAGTGCTCAAAAATATTTCTTGAATCAATGATGAAACAAATTTCTTTCTGAGGTGTGAACAGTTTCAGAATGGGGCTACATTCAGCCCCTGGTCACAAATTTGAGTCTCTATTTGCATTCAGGTGTGAAGTTCATAATAAAGCCTTTCCTTCTGGGCCTCCCTGGTGGTGCAAGGGGTTAAGACGCAACCTATGAAGCTATCCGCAGCCACTGCAGCACCGAGTTTGATCCCTGGCCGGCCAGGAAGTGACCCACATGGCACAGCAGACCTCTCCTGTCTCGCCTGCTGCTCCCCTCAGCAGTGCATTTCAGTCAATCTGCATGTTCTGCTCCCCAATCTGTCTCTGGTGAATCCTCTCACCCTCCACACCATTGGCCTGTACCCAAGTTCTTATATGCATAAATAAATAAATCTTAAAAAACAAAGCCTCTCCTTCCTCATCACCTGGGAATTACTGTACGACCTAGGAGAGTGTACTTGACAGACTACTTTTAGCCTTCCCTTGCCGAACTCTAATTTGTTTTGAATCCAATAACCACCAGATGAAAACACTCTTAATCACTGTGTGAGGCTAGGCTACTTTTTCCTTTCTCTCAGCCCAGAGATGAAAGTGCATCAGAACCCTCTAGAGGAATTGTTAAAACACCGATCCCTGATCCTCCTCCCAGAGGTTTTTTTTTTTTTTTTTAAGATTTATTTATTTATTTATACAAGAACCGGGGTACAGGTCACATTCGCGGGAGGGTGAGAGGATTCACCAGAGACAAAGGAGGGAACAGAACTGGCAGACTGATGAAATACACTGCTGAGGGGAGAAGCAGTCGAGACAGGAGAGGTCTGTGCGCCATGTGGGTCTCTCCGCGGCTGGTGGGGATTGAACCGGCACTGCCCCGGCTATGGACAGCTTCACAGCACTGCACTCGACTGCCTGCGCTACCAGGGAGGCCTTCAAATGAAAGTTCTGAGAGATGTTCTCCCAAGAGAATGACTAAGCATCCTGGTTTGGCTGGCACTGAGTGGTTTCCCACTCATGGGGTTTTCAATGCTAAACCCAGGAAAACATCCAGCAAATTGGGATGATTTGGCCACCTTCATCCTTTTTTATTGTCCCTAATAAAAAACACTCAGAAAAATATCTCTGGTATAATGTTTATTTAAATAGTAATCTTAAAAAGGCTTTATACAAATCATACAAACACAGTTTGACATTGTTGTTTGTTCTTTACATTGAAGAATCACAGTAAAAGCTCTCAGGTTCCCGTGACCTGGCTCAGCCAGTGAATGGTCGGATACCTTTAGCTGCAAACCCTGGAAAAGTTAACCTTCTCTGTGGCGGTTTAACTTTTCCCCTTGTTTTCTTGCCATTCATGCTCATTCCTCGGACCCTCATCCCTGTCGACTCCCCAGTCCCAGCTAAGAGAGAGGCAACCCTGTAGCCCTGCTGACCGCCCAGTCCGGGAGAGCGTGGAGGTAATGTGTCATTCAGTACAAGGCAAAAAGGAGATCAATACTGTGACTTGGGTTTCCCAAAGGGAACGACTCAAGGAGAGGGGTCAGCTAGCCTACCTGCAGGTAGAGACAACAAATGCACAAAATGTCCCATGGCCAAGTTCAAATCGGCCCCGCTCTCGCTCTTTGTCCAGTGTTGGTGAGGTATCTACATGCAAGCCCTGTGTAGCTGCTTTTGCTCAGCGTTCAGGGCCCACTTAGGGCCTCAGATCAACCAATGGTGATTAGGATACAGGACTGTTACAGAGAGGCAGGCTGAGTTGTACATATACTCAGAGGTGAACTTCAGGCCACTGGAGATAGGGCTGGTCTTTGGGGAACAGTAAAATAGACCACTGGGTATGACAGGGCCAGGACCTCCGGAACAGGCTTTTGAAGTTCGTTCTTCTGCAGACTCCTTTTGGAAATTCCTTGGACTTGCTAGCTTCCTGAACACTGAGCTACATGGGACGGTGAAGAGGAGGGTAGGCTAATTTAAAATTTGCTTCCGCTGCATGCCCAGCTCAGGGGAGCCTGAAGCTAAGCCCTTGGGCTTGACAGCTTTACTTGTCACCTCTAACTACCACTGTGCCGAGTGCCGAGGTCAGCAGTCACACTCGGGCCCTAGGTCAAAGTCACAATAACACCACTGAGTCCCACGTGACCATTCACATACACAGTAGATACAGAGAACTGAAAGGAGAGCAAAGACACACACACACATATGAACAAATAGCTGTTGGTATGATCTCTCCCTCTGCATACAAAACACTGTGACATTACCATTTGAACTAGATTTCCATAAGTTAACATTTAAAGGAACCAGCCAATCCAGTTCACCCTTCCCCTTTCACCTGGGTATGAGACAAATGAAATTGTGGGTGACCATAGCAGCAAAAATGGTCTGACAGCTTATCACTGATAAGCAATAGGCTGGGCATACCGTTTGGGTTCCAAATGTATTTCCAGCACACAGGCAATGCTCAGGCTTCGCTACAAGATCAAGATCGGGATCTTGATACAGACAGTTTTATTCTTCACACAGTTTCATTATGTTCCTGATGCCTCCTCTTCTACAATAGCTGAGAGTCATCTAGGGCTGTGACTACCACTTGGTAGCAGGGCTCATTCCATTAATAGGATCAGCGGTGAGTGGGGGACCTGGGGAGGAGCCACTGGGGTTAGGAGGAATGCCTTAATGTCCATGATCGTCACTGATTTTTACATAGAGGGAAAAAACACTTTTTCTTCAAGGCACTTAATAAAAACACATAAACTGGTGTGAGTGTGAGTGTGTGTGTGTCTGTGTGTGTGTGTGTGTGGTCTAACAGCATGAAGCAGTGTCTCAACTACGTTCTGGTCCACAGTGCTTGCAGACTTCAGGTTAGACTCATGGACGGGTTAGCTCTGAGGTTCCAGGTGGTACTGGAACTTCAAGGAGAAATCAGTATGTACCAAGTAGAGTCTGCCCAGCCTTAGCCATTGCAAGACCCCAGAGCTGGCTTTTTTTTTCTCTCTCCACTGATCTCCTTGCCATGAGGGGTCACCTGTTATATTTCACCCATACCTATAGCCTACATGTGCCCTCCCCATCTCTGGATATGAAATGACATCATTTCTGGGGACAAATGTGTGCGTGAATATGTGTGTTTGTGTATGTATGTAGGTGTGTGTGCATATGTTTTAGCAGAACAAGGAGGAAGGAAAAGAAAAAGCAAAACCACTACTAGAGGCCCCAAAAGGAGCCTCTCAGCCACCACTTCTGGGTCTAGATTTAACGATTGGCTCCTATTCACAAAGCACATTAAGGCTTGTCCGCTGCTAACGTGGAGGTGCTTTTATGGATTTTGATGTGTGAACTTTCCTTTCTGGTTTGTTTCAAATTGCAAAGAAGAAAGAGCTGTTCATGCTGACCCTAAAATGGCAATTTTCCCCTGGATAAAAAAAGTTAAAGGCAACAACATCCTACTTCAATGCTAGGATTGGGAACGGCAGCTTGTGGGTCGGCTGGCAGAATATGCACCACAGCGAATCTCGTGTCATAAGATGGCAGAGAACGGAATAAGCTGGATTTTTTTCGAGGTTGTTTTTTTTTTTTTTTTCCCCTAAAGATGGAAGTCTGAAAAGACCCTTTGCTTTTCAAGTATTGATTAGAAAGAGAATGTGAAGAGTAACGATCACCACTCAGCTTCTATACTGGAAAAGACATTCTCCTCTTCTGCCTCTTTGAGTTGCTCACAGACCAAAGAAATAAAATAGAATAATCACACACTCACAAACAAAACAGAACTGTGATCCCAAAGAGATGAGCTCTGGTCTCTGTCCCAGCAATGACTCAGCCCCCGCGGGCCCCAGGGGGTCGTCAACCCCCTCGCGGCTGCATCTCCCCATCTCTCTCGGCTCGCCTGTCTGTCCAGTCCACACCTTCGGTCATTCTGGATCGGTTTGATCAAGATTATGGCATTCAGTCTCCCAAGGAAAAAAAATGTAATCTTCACTTGTTCCTCTTGCTGGAATGAAACGTCAGATGTGATTTGGGTGCAATCCGTCATGCCTCTGAGCAGCACTTCTGGTGGTTCATCTTGACCTTGTGCTTGAGGCCGTCATAGAGCTCGAAGTTGTAGTTCTCCAGCGTGGTGCAGCTGCGGGAGCTCAGGCCAGAGTAGGAACAGGTGCAGTAGAGCAACAGCCCTGCACATGTGGCCCCCAGGAGGACCCCCAGCGAGCTCATGGCGATGATGGTGATGAGGATGGGGTCCAGCGTGTAGAGCCAGCTCTTTTCTTTGTCGGCCGAAGGGGCACCAGACCCTGAAGTCGGGGCAGAAGTATTGCTCCAGTCCACCTCGTCGTACTCATCTACGACATAAAGCACACGAGAGGTTGCAGGCACTGCTTCTCTCGGGGGTGGGGGGGTGGTGGTGGAGTAACTGCGGCCCCCAGCCCAGTGCAGAGGGAGGCATCGGGAACAGCCTGCCTGCCACTAAGCCCAGCCCTGTGTGACTGGCTGTGTGGCTTTACAAGGGTTATTTAGCCTTTCTTTGTTTTAGTTCTTTCATCTATAAAATAGGGGTACTAATAAAATCTATCTCATTGGGTTGTTAGGAGGGTTAAATGAGCTAATATTTGTAAAGTGCTTGGTGTCCAGCAAATAATAAGTATAGGCTAAGTATCCGATATTAAAATAACTTGACTCACATTAGGTAAGTAGAGACTGAACACCTGGGAAGGCCCTGTGCTTTGGACACCTTCATTCTTTGCCTCCTTACCCCTCACCTCCAACTACTTCAAGTTAAATCAAAGGACAGGCTAAAACAATTTTCATGTGACACATTTTCCAGTTAAGCCTGCCTGGCCATCCAGAGCAGGTTGTCTTTGAGCCACCAGGTCTCAGCTGACATGTTTTACTTCACTGTTACGGGTTGATGGTGCCCATCCCCCCCGGCCCCTAGGATCATCATAAAGTTCTAACCCCAGAACCTCAGGATGTGACCTTATCTGGAGACAGGGTCTTTAAAGAAGTCATCAAGCTAAAAATGTGGTCTTCAGGGCAGGCCCAATCCAATATGACAGATGTTCTGATAAAAGGGGGGCATTTGGAGACACAGATGGGAGAATATCATGTGACTACAAAGCTGGCCAGATACAAACCAAGGATTCCTCTACCTTCAGAGGTAACCCTGTTGACACCTTGACCTTAGACTTCTAGCTTCCAGAATGGTGAGAAATATCTGCTGTTTAAGCCAGCCAGTCTGTGTTACCTTGTATGGCAGTCCTAGCAAACTAATATATTTCTATGGTGTGTTCAAGGCTTGACCACATCCATGCTTTTTTAAAAAAATTTTCTCCAATAATCCTCTGGGGAGAGGGTAATAAAACTTCTTTCAATAGGTAAGGAAACTGAATTTTAAAGAAATCTGGCAGTGAGGTAACTCACTCAGGTCCTAGAGTTAGCAAGCAGTTAAACTAGGGCTAGGAACCAGGCTTTTGCAACCTCATCCCTTGCTTCTCTACCCCTTCATAGTATTTCTGTTGCTTGATCGATGGCAGCCTGAGCGCGAAGGCCAGTGGCACAGCTTTGCCCATAAAAGGAGTGTTGGAGTGGGTTTTGCAGGGAGAGTCTGTGTTCAGTTAACAAGGTGCTATTTGGGTTAGTCACTCTGTTTCTATAACTACACTTGATTAAGGTCAGCTTAAAAGCAGTTTCTCTATAAACTGCTCTTCTTAAATGCATCAATCTTGGTCTAATGCTGTTCTCGGGTGGAAGCCTGGTGTCGAGTGTCCTGGAGATCAACTCCAGCACTCAGATAAGCTCAGGGAGAGCTGGGCTACTCTGTGTTGAGAGTGGGAATCACATCTGCATGTTTGCTCAGCAGTGCTCCAGTCTGGACTTTTCTCCTTCCTCAAATGAAGTGAGAGAAGAGGGGTTATGAAAATGCAGATGGGAAGTAGGGGAAAGAAACCTAAATCTTGGCCCAGCTTGGAGTCTTGGATAGTGTGAGAAAGGATTGCCCCAAGTCAGGGAACGGGAATCCATGGCAGGCCTGGGAGAATATTCAAGTTAACGCTCACTCACTCAGGCCCATTTTGGGAGCAGGTCAACGGGTTCAAGCAGATACATGTATAAAAAGCCTGATTTTCACCTGCAAGGGTTTACATCCAGATTTGAAGTCCACTAATGTCAAAAGTTGCCTGGAATAGGGGGCCTGTTTTAGATTAGACAGAGGGAACTCAATAAACTTTCTAAGTCTTTAAATTTGACCTTGACAGAACAATTGATGGTTTCTTCATTCCTTTCTGGACTCTTTTTACTTATAGATCTGACTAAATTCTGGCTTTACAATCTTCTGGGCATCATTTTTGTTGACGACTTTATAACCAAACTTGAATTTCATGATTATCTGCTAAATCATAGCCATACTCACCATCAATTTCACCGCCATAGCCCTCTCGCCCATGTAGTTCTGGGATGTCCACTGTAATGAAAAAGAAAACAAAAACGTCAAGCTAAACAAGCTCTATCACAACGGCTAAAAGACAGAGACACAACCTCCTGAGAATGAATTCCCAGTACAGCAGGCAGCTAAAGAATCACATCTGCTTTAGATCACTGAGGATGTACATTAGCGCATCCTTTCACCTTCAAATGATTTGTCTTTACTTCCAGAACAGAAACAATAAGAAAGGTCTTTAGTTCCAAGTAAGTCCTCATCCGTGTCTTTATAATGACTGTCTTTCATTACCAATACAGGCCTGAGTTTTATCTAAGTAACTTCAGAGGCAGCTTAGACTCACATCAGTTGCCATTACTGTAACATTCACTTAGTATAACACACCGTCGCTCCCCACAGGCACACATCTAAGAGAACAGAAGACAGAAGAAGGGTTTTCTCTAGATTTCCCATAAATGTGTGTTAATTTAAGGAAGTTGCATTTCATCACTACATGTTTCAATGTAGAAGTAGACCTGGAAAGTGTCATAACGGCTGTCAACCTCCACATATCTGTGCTAATACCTCCTCTTTCCTTCCCAGTCTGTTTTTCCTATTGGCTTTCTTTATAGTTTAGATCAAATATGGGTGTACAGTCTGACTAGCCCAGGCATGAATAGAGTTAAGTTAATTTATTCTTAATTTTTTCCAGTATTATCCCAGTCTATCTTTTTCTTGTTTTAACAATTTTTTTTTTGGAGGAAGAGAGCCTCTCTATTCACTATGCCATCCATCTTATTGAAATCAGAGCAAATGAAAATTACCTGTAGAAAATGGTAAGAAAAATATGTGGAAAAGAGCAAGGTCTTATCCTTCCTTCCTATCTCACAAGCTAATTATGCCTGTTCTGGCTGTCAAGGAGTTGGCACTGATGAATGGATGTGTCTTTTAGGGCTTTCATTGCCCCCAAAATCAAGTGAACAAGGGCCTCTGGTGGTGCAGGTGGTTGAGCGCAGCGCTGTGAAGCTGTCCTCAGCCTCTGCAGCGCCGGTTTGATCCTGGCCGGCTGGTGAGAATCCCACATGGCATGGAAGACCTCTCCTGTCTTGCCCGCTGCTCCCCTCAGCAGTGTATTTCATCAGTCTGCCTGTTATGTTTCCTGCTCTGTCTCCTGCGCATCTGGCCTGAACCCTGGTTCTTGTGTGCATGAATAAATAAATCTTTAAAAAAAAAAAATTAGGGCCTCCCCGGTGGCGCAGCGGTTGAACGCTGGGTTGCGGGGCTGCCTGCAGCCTCTGCAGCACGGTTTGATCCCCGGCCGCCAGGTGAGGGTCCCACATGGCGTGCGGACCTCTCCTGCCGCCCACTGCTCCCCTCAGCAGTGTACTTCATCACTCTACCTGTTCTGCTCCCCGCTCTGGCTCTGGTGAGTTCTCTCGCCCTCCTGCACCTCTGACAGTACCCAGTGCTTGTATAAATAAATAAATAAATCTTTAAAAAAAAAAAACTTAAAAAAAAAATCAAGTGAACAATCTTGACGTTACCACTATAAATTGATATCCAAAAATCAAGGCTTAAAACAAAACCAAAATCCCAAAGAGCTAGAGTGTCAAATAAGAAGAGGAGAAAGAAGAACTTTAGCACAGTCTGAACTTCTTCCTCCTCAGCACATCATCCCAGGAAACAGCTACTTGACCATGACATAAACTGAAGATGGATCCATCAAGGCCACACTTGATGGCCTTTTTAGTTAGTCTTTTTTTCTGGAGCAGTAGTTTCGATCATGTTAGAAATCTTTCTCATGCCTGGCCAAAGTCTAAAGCGCATATGCATCCCCTTGGTTGCTAGGAAGGGATGAACAGAACAAGTTGCCAAGACCCCCCCACTCTGCCCCTTGAAAGGATCAACGCCATGTGGCACTGGCCCTCCATGACTTGAGCCTGTTCCTGGCAGGCTTATGGTATAGCAACTGACACCTGCAGGCGATGCCAGCTCCCCCACCTTAGTGCCCCCTCCAGCATTTTTCTCCAGGCCCCTCAACACAGACTGCTTCCTTGGAATGAAGACTGAACATGAATCAACACGAGGCAGGTGGTGTCTGTCACAGGGATCAAATTGAGCTTGTGAAAGTCAACCAGAGCTTTTTTTAACTTTATGAAAAAGAACAAACATGATAGAAAACCATTACATTTCCAAAAAGGAACCATTTTGATGGAATGCTCATATTTCTTTACACCTTCCTTAAAGCTTCAGAACATTGGATAAGAACATGTGATTCAGCCGAGGGTGACCCTGTGGGGCTCCAGCCAGTGGCTTTTGGGCAAAATCCTATTTCTGCTTTTAAGGGATTCAGTTTCTGCCAAGGAAGTGAGGAATTCTTGGAGGCTCAATGCCATCTTGCTCCATCTTATGCCCTCAGGGAAGAACTCTTTGTTTATTTTTTATTTTTTAAAGATTTATTTATTTTTTTTTACAAGAACCAGGATACAGGCCAGATGCGCGGGAGGGTGAGAGGATTCACCAGAGACAGAGCGGGGAATAGAACAGGCACATTGACTGAAATACACTGCTGAGGGGAGCAGCGGGTGAGACAGGAGAGGTCTGCTGTGCCATGTGGGATTCTCGCTGGCCGGCAGGGATCGCACCTGCTCTGCAGAGACTGCGGACAGCTTCACAGTGCGGTGCTCAACCGCCTGCGCCACCAGGGAGGCCCAGGCAAGAACTCTTTGGATACTATTGATCATGGTCTGGAAATGGGTGGAAGTGGCATTGATCTTAAAGGACAAAGGGTAAGAGGATGGTAATGAATAGGAGAACATTCTGTCCTAGGAGATCACAGCTTCTTGTCTCTGGTGGCAGAGAACTGGATGAGATGACCTCCCAAGAACTGGTCCATTTTGAAAGTTCTATGGACTTGATTGCCCAGATGTGCCTGAGATTTCTGCACCTGGAGAATCAAAGGCTACTTAAGATGAAGATGAACATGTTAGAGGCTTGCTTTGGCTTTTTGTATGATCACTGCTCCCGGGAGTTTGGGTGAGTGGGAAGGGGGTCGAAAAAAGGATAAGTTAATCAACATTTTCAAAAGCACATCTGTTCACCAAGCCTTAAAGTAAGAATAGCACACCAGGGAAAACCCAAATAAAGGGAACATTTGTACAAAAAGCAATTGACTTTGATAGCAATTTTCTCTGGCCTCCTTGCTAATATTCTTGATATCTGTGTTTGATTAAGAGCTCTTTTTCTCAAAAGACTCTTTGCCCTTCATCGGCCAATTTCCTTTTCTTTGGGGCCCGGTAGGTAAACCTCAACCAGTTTCCTCGGGATGCTGGCAGGAAGCAATGTGGTTCTCCCTCTCTTCCTTATAATTCTAGCAAAGAAAAGGCCGGGGTGGAGGAGGCAGAATGATGAGAGAGGAGCTCAAGGCAGAGAGTGGGGGCAGTACTTTTCTGGGAAGAAGTGAGGCAGACAGCAAGAGTATGAGGTCCGGGGGCTTGGAAGTTTGTTTACAATTTTTTTAATGAGTCAAAACTTGGCAAGGGCCTTCCAGGATCCTGCTTTGGAGGGTGGGTGTATTTGTGAGTGTGAGTTGGATGAGAAGAATGGAATGAGCCACTCCTCTAGGAGAAGGTCAGGAAAAGATCTTACCACCCACCTGGCTCCACTTTTAACCTTGGCGCTCACGTGACCCTGTTTTCTCCTGAGCCCCACTGTGGATTCAGTCCCAGGCCAGTCTGACGGCCAAGCCTGACTTTTGACTCTTATGCTGTGTGAAGGCCAGAGGAGACACGGTGCCCTCCTGGGTCTGCACACAAGTTCTCTGGGTGTGGGCAGGGCACAGCAGCTACCACCATATCATCACCTCATTCCTACAGAACAGAGGGTGTCCCTGTGGACCCTGGTGAGCTAGATACGTACTCCCTGGCTTTGGCCTGCATCCCAGGCTCACCACTGTGACGGGAAGTCCTGAGGACCCCAGCGATGTGAAGATGGGTGCCTGAAATTTGGGCCTTTACATTTTCCATGGCAGGCATTTCTCAGAGAGGGAAGGCTGATTTACATTGTTCCTCAAAGGAGCGGTCTTCATTAACCACGTAACCAGGAAACTAACCATCACTTACTAAGAGGGTTTGCTAGATGTCCAGGAACCATACTAGGGACTAAAGAAGATGATGTACGAGGCCAGGTGTCTACAATCAAGGCCTTTCCCTTGACTCACCAGGCCAGAAGAGCATAAAGAAAGTGGGCTGTTGTGGGGGTGCCTCTGAGATGGAGTGGAGGCCAAGGCAGGGGCTCGGCCACTTCCAGGAAGGAAAAAGTGGTGGACACAGGGGGACTAGAGGCTGCTGTGTGTGTGTGGGGCATTCGGGTTGGGGAGCTCCTTTGTCTGCCTCATTAATAGAAATAGTTTCAAACATGGAGCTTCGCCTCTTCACTCCTACACTGATCTCTTGGTTTTGGCTTGAATTCATTTTCAGCAGCTCCGGCGAGGGACTCACAGAGATTGCCTTGCCCAACCCCACATCTTCCTGGACTTCTCTGTGCGAGAGTCAGTTCTTTACCAGCCGCCAGTGCAGCGGAGTGAGAGGAGGAAATGGACTCCCGAGGGACTGGCGGGGAGTTCAGGAGAGGCTGAGTCATTGGAATAGCCACTACTTAAAAAGTAAACAACACCGCCTGGCCCCCGATTTAACAAACAGATTTTCCTATTGTGGTCAAAGTCTCAGGCTGAAAAGCCTCTGCGCCCTCAGGAGTCCCTTCCCTCAGCATCACTGAGAGGTGGGTCAGGTACCTGGGGAAGAGAGACTCAAGGTCTTACTGATCTCCCATGATCTCGATTTTTCATTATAAGAAACCCCAGCTATTAAAATAGCCACTGGACTGTTCCAGGAACTCCCTCTACCCAGAAGAGTCAACTATTCTCTAGTGTCCTTTTGGGTAATTGCAACACTAGGGCACAAGTGGTGAGCAGCCATACCCCGCCAGGAACCGAGTCTATTCTGAGGAGATGTGTTTATCCCTGGGGGGTCTGGAACACTGCCTGC